GGGGGGGGGGGAGTAGAAGCAAAGGATCTGAACACACAATGCTATTTTTAAAAGTCAGCAAGCACCACTAGTCATTTAAAAACACAAACAGCTGCCTATGATTCAATTCCAACTCATGGTAACTGATTGTATTTCAAAGCAGAACTAACCCATCAATGGGCTGATCTTTCAAAAGCAGATTGCCAATCTTCTTTCCAACTCTAAGGAGATATGAAGTTCTACAACATGACCCACCACTGTAACCTGGGAGAGCTTTTTATTTTGAACATTTAAAAACCTACACAAATGTTGGAAGATTAGTAAAACAAATATTATATTCCTTTCAGGCTCATTCTCCACTTGCTAACCTTTTGCCTCATTTGTTTTATCTCTGTGTTCTTTTGGAAATGTACAAATCAGTTACAGACATCAAAACCCTTCCATAACATGGCAACCTGCATCTCCTGAAAACAAGGATATCTTCCATGGTAACCATAAGACCAACACCATGGACAGTCATGAAATATTTTCTCTAATGAATATATAGATTGATGTATCCAGATGTTCCAGCTGTCCCATCATGTTTTCTATGGCTGCTTTCATATTTGATATCACATTCAGCTTGGTGGTCAAGTCTCTGGCTCTTCCATCTCTCACGTGCAGGTGTGGAGGCTCAAGCATATGACCCATGCGGGTCTGTCTAGGTTCCCTTAGTCAGATTCAGGTACTGTTGACTTTTTTCTTTGTATATATGAGGATTGTGCAGGTGATACATGACCTTCCATGTGCCTGTTCATTGGGAGCCAGTCAGCTGATTCTAGTGCCTAGGGTACTGTGTTGTGTGTCCATCAGAGTAGAGTACTGGACAGTGATTCTGAGAGGGGTCACCGCTCCTGAATGGCCCTACCCATGGCCTCATATCAGGGGATGATCCTGCCATGATCAGTTAGGACATTAAGCTTCTCCCTTCATAATACTGTGCCCTGGGAAGGTCTTGGAAACTTAGGATTCTACATTCCTCCCAAACATCCTGTCTCAGAACCTTCAGTACTCTATTGGTGTCTGAAGACAAGCTATGGATATACTGTGCAGAACACATTCTTGGTAAACAAGAATTGGAGTTAAGTAACTACTGAGGCCCCAGGAAGTCAGGTGTGTGTGTCCCTGGTGAGCCTAACACTCTATGAACAGGACACACACACCAGCCCAAGCACCAGCCATTTCCCTCTCAGGGCAGGAAAAACCTTCGGTTCCTTGCACTCACAGCTACCTCACCTGAAATACTCCATGAAAATGTGGCACGAAGGCGGCTATCAAAAAGTATAGCGTCTGGGGTCTTAAAGGCTTGAA